ACCTCATTGTTGTTTTGATTTTTATCTCTCAGATGATTAGTGTCTTTGAACATGTTTTCATATGTCTCAGGGCCTTATATATGTCTTCTTTCAAAAAGTATCTATTTAGATCCTTTGACCATTTTTTTGATTGGATTGTTTACCTTCCTTTTATTAAGTTGTATGAGTTCTCTCTAAATTTTGGAAATTAAACCCTTATATAAAATATCATTGGCAAATATGTTCTCCTATGCAGTGGGATTTCTTGTTGTTTTCTTGATGGCTTCGTTTTCTGTGCCAAGATTTCTTTCTTAATCTTGTTGGCAAGGCATTCATTGTTTAATAACTTGTGTTTGAATATTTTGAGGTGTTTTTACTATAGTTGATTTCTAATTTCATTCTACTGTGATCAGAGAGGATGCTGATATAATTTCAATCTTTTTGAACTTGTAGGGACTTGCTTTGTGTTATAACAAATCATCTATGTTTGTTAATGATCCATGTACATTTGAGAAGAATGTATATTCTGCAGCTTTGAAGTGAAATGTTCTATAAATGTCAATTAAATTCATCTAATTCAATGTGTCTTTTATAGTCTCTGTTTCCTTGTTGAGTTTTCTTCTGGAAGATCTATCCAGTGAAATTAACTATGACTGCATTGTTGTTTTTCTCTGGGTTAAAGTCCTCTAGAAGAGTTTTTATATATTTAGGTGCATATATGCTTACCAGGATTATATCCTCTTATTGAATTGATCCTTTTAGTATTATGTAGTAAGCTTTGTTGTCTCTTATGATGGCCTTTATTTTGAAGTTTATTTTGTCTGATATGAGTATTGCTACTCAAGTTTTTTTTTTTTCCATTTTAATTTGCATGGAAAAATTTTTTCCACCCATTCACTCTCATTCTGTGTGTGTATTTTGTTCTGAGGTTGGTGTCTTGTATGAAGCATATAGTTGAGTCATGTTTTTGTATCCATTCAGCTACGCTATGTCTTTTGACTGGAGAATTTAATCCATTTACATTTAAGTTTATTGATAGGTCCATGTTTATTGCCATTTTAATTCTGCATGCTTAGTTTTCTCTCTCTTTTCATTACAGCAGTCCCTTTAGCGTTTTTTACAATGCTGACTTGGTGGTGATGTACTCCTGTATCTTTTTTTGTTTGTTTGTTTGTTTGAGAATTTCTTTATTTACCGCCTATTTAGAATGACAGCGTTGCTGGATATAGTAAGCTTGGTTTCAGATCCTTGCTTTCCATTATCTTGAGTACTTCATGCCATTTCTTTCTCACCTGTAGAGTATCTGATGAGAAATCATGTGTCAGCCTTATGATAGTTCCTTTCTAGGTAACAGTTTGCTTTTCTCTTTGTCTTTAATTTTTGGCATTTTAATTATGATGTGTCTGGTGTGAGTCTATTTGGGGTCTTCTTGTTTGGAGTTCTTTGTGCCTCCTAAACTTGTGTGACTTTTTCTTCTACCAGGTTAAGGAAGTTTTCTGCCATTATTTCTTCAAACACGTTCTCTATCCCTTTCAACCTTTCTGCCTCTCCTAGCACACCTGCTATTTAAATATTATTATGTTTTATGCTGTCCACAGCTCCCTTAAGCTGTCCTCCCATTTTTTAATTGCTTTTTTCTTTATGGTTCTCTGGTTGAATGATTTTTTTTAACCCTATCTTTTAGTTCACTGATTTGTGAACTCAGCTTCCCCTAATCTGCTGTGTGTTCTTTATTTGTGCTATGTCATTCTTTATTTCTGCTTTCATAGTTACTATATTTTTTTCTCATGCTGTTGAACATCTTAACCATCATTATTTTGAACTCTATGTCTGATAAACTTCTTATTTCCATTTCATTTATCACTTTTTTCTGGAAAATTCTCTTGTTCTTTCATTTGGGGTTGTTTCTTTGCCTCCTCATTTTGGCTTTCTGTTTGGGTTTGTGACTATGTATTAGGCAGATCTGCTACACCTCTCAATCTCCAGTGCAGGACAGCATCAAATGCTGTTTCTGACTAATTAGTTCAGGTAAAGACTCATAGCCTCCAGAGACCACTCTGCCTATAAAATGATAGAATTCCATCTTGAATTGCCCTCAGGCAATCATCCACAGGTGTAGTGACAGTTTTCTCAACAAGGTGGTGCAATTGCTTCTGCCTGAAGACGAATTGTTATTCTCAGTCTTTTAATGGGCCTTGGAGACTCTGCACCATTGGGCAAGGTATCTACCAATAGGGTAGGCCAGCTGTCTTCCCCCCAGGTGAAGCCACCTGTATTATAAATGTCTGCATGAGAAAGATGACTTCGATTGTGTGAGGGAATGACTCAGCATAGGAAACTGGTGTGTCTGCCTTCTGATTTCTAACCCCCAGTGTCCCAAACCTGGCTTCTGCTCACACAGCTCTAGTCCACTTTGCCCTCCCTCTGTCAGAGCACACGGTGAGTGACTATCGATACATAGGGAATTTTGTGTGTTGGCCCTTTAAGAGGGTGCCTGAGTTTCCAGCTCTCTCCCTGGCAGGCAGCAACCCCACTGCTTTTCACAGCCAGATGTTATATGGGCATCCTTCTCAGTTTTGGTTCTCTCTGCTGGGGGGCCCCATTTGGGGATTAGACCCCAGAGTTCTCAGTGGCAACCTCCCACAGCTGAGATATCTCTCCAGTACTTCAGCTACTGTCAGTGGGCGCCCAACCAGCCCCTTGTGCCTCTGTCCCACCGATGAGTCTCCATTTTTCGTTCTTGGAAGCTTTTCTGTATTTTAGTTATAATTCCAGTTTGGTCCTGGGAGCGTGTCCATGCAGCATCCACTTACTCTGACATCATTTTACTTTATTTTATTATCCTTTTAATGTCCATGAGATCTATAGGGATGACCTTTTTTTTTCATTTCTGATATTAATAATTTGTGTCCTCTTTTTCTTAGGTTGCCTGAAAGCTCATTGATTTTATTTATCTCTTCCAAAAACTGACTTTAGGGTCATTAGTTTTCTCTATTCGTTTCTCATTTCAATTTCATTGGTTTCTGCTCTAACCTTTATTATTTATTTTCTCTATTTACTTTGGACTTAATTTGCTTTTCTTTTACTAGTTTCCCAGGGTGGATATTTACATTATTGACTTCAGATCTTTCTTCTTCCAAAATATGCATATTTCCTCTTGTCTCCTATGGCCTTCATGTTTGCTTCCTGGTTGCTATGCAGAGCCCCTCACAGCTGCCTGGGGTAACATTCCCTATGCCATAGCTGCCGCAGAGCCCTGTAGGTACTGGGGGAGCTTGCCTGGTAAGTGCTCTTACCCAGCTCTTGCACTTCGGGCACATGGCAGCTGAGATAGCTCTATGGCTCCAAGTTCTCTCGGCAGGAGCCAGACCCAGGTTTCAGTAAATATTCATAGGAATGAAATGAACTGGCCTTTTTTTTTTTTTTTTTTTTTTTTTAATGCAGTGGATTTATGACTTACTTCTTTTGTGTGCCTTTGTTTAAATGTGTCTTTATATTAGCCAGGCCATATACTCCAGAGCACTGATCAGTGGCCCTCAGTTTTGGTAGCAAGTTAGAATCATGGACATAGCATAAAACACATCAGCGCCTGGGTCCCCCCTCCGTTCCTGATGCAGTCAGTCTGGGCATGGAGTAGCAAAGTTCCTCGGGTGATTCTGACATGAGCCCAGGTTGAGCCCACTGTCTCAGACACTTCCTATCATAAATCCTCCTTAATCTACCCTTATTGCCCAGACTGACATGAGTGTTAATTGTTAAGAAGTGGGAATAAGAAGTCAATGTCAAGGCAATACGTTGACAACACTAGTTTCAAGCTGAGCTCCTGAGCACTCCTGGCTTGCGAGGAAGGGTCTTCCCCGTCACTCAGGCGGTCCCTCTGGGTGGGGACTCCAGGAGGACTGCACAGCCTCCATGGGAAGAGGCCAGAAGGTCCTACAGAAAGGCTCCTTTCTGAATGTGCCCATGAGATTACATCTAAGGCTAAGGCCAAGTCAGGTGACCCTGTGGCTGGGAGGGCTCCTCCCTCTGGTGCTTACAGGGATGGGTGTGGAGGGGCCCACCGCAGAATTGGATCCCGGGAAATGGAAGCATCCTAATTTAAAGTTTCTGCTGTTGCCTTTGGCTGCTAATTGGTAGAACGTGGGGCAGGCGGCCCGAACGGGGTGTCTGATGTGCACACCTAGAGCATAGGTTTGGGGTGGAAGTGAGATGGGGGCTGAAAGCCAGAGAGCAATGTCCCATTGGTGGGAGGACCGAGGGGGGACAGAGTGGCTACCTGGGGAAGGGAAGAGATTGAGACTGGGGAAAGGATAAGTAGGTCAATAGGAGAGTAGACACGACCTTGGAGCTCCCAAGAGAGGGGTGAGAGACAGCAGGTTGCCATCAGGAAGGAGTGGGCTCCTAGCAATAAGGTGGAGAGACAGGTTGGGCACCCAGGCATCCCAGCCCCACCTGCCCTGCCCTATCTCTCCCTCTCAGAGAAGCAGGCCCCAGGGGGCTGTGTCCAGAGCATATATTGAGAGATTGCTCTTGGCCAGACCTCATACCGCCTTCTTCAGGTGTGGTCTGTACCTGGAAGTGCAGCTCAGTGTGTGTGTAAGGGGGTGGTGGTGGTGGTGGTGGTGGAGGTGAGGGGCTGGACCCAGGGACTGCCATGCAAAGGCCTCAGGTGGGAGGGGCAGGGAAGCCTGCGAACCTCGGTGGGCTGTGCGGTGCAGACAGTTAGAGGTTACTGTGGTGGATCCTCTGAGGGCAGGAGGAGCAGGGAGAAGGCTGGCAGGAGCCCGGGGACCTCACTGTGGCACTTGGTTGCCGAAGGTGGGGGAGGCCGTGGTCATCCCGGAGGGTGGCCAGGTGAGCAGACTGAATGGACGGCCAGTGGCAGGGACCAGGGCCTTGCAGACCATCTCTGAGGGGGAGGAAGTGACCCTGCAGTTCAGATGGTCTGGCTGACACCAAGCAGGGCGCGCTCTTTCATGTGTGCCCGTGGAGACGCTGACTCACCTCCGTGCCGTTCGCAGATCCGGACAAGGGACAGGATCTTTGACAGCATCAGCCATCTCATCAACCACCACCTGGTGAACAGGCTGCCCATCGTCTCCGCCGGGAGCGAGCTCTGCCTCCAGCAGCCGGTGGAGAGGAACCCGTGACCCACCAGCCGCCCTGCCTGACAGGCACCGTGGTGGGGGGCTCGGTTCCTCCCGGGAGACGGGCCCGGCTGCAGGGACTCGGGCGCTGCCTCGGTCCGGAGCCCCAGGAGGAGCGCGGCTAAAGCGCAGGTTCTGTAAACTTGTCTGCTTTCACCTGCAGAGTAGAGGTGTACATACTATACATCCTGTACAAATGACCCTCCAAATTCCTATTTTTTAAGACTAAGAAAGAGGTAAGACTAATGTTCTGTGCCGTATGTTTTTAATGAAAAACGTTTGACTGTAGTTGTCTGGGCAAAATTTAATTCAACTGACCCATTCTCCTGGGCTAGTCCACTGGGAAGTGCCACTGGAGTCTGCCCGGGACCCTGCCTGGGAGCAGACGCCGCAGGACAGCGGGTGCGTGCCCGCGCTGTAAGAGTCAGGCGCGGTGCCCGGGAGGTCCGGCCTGCACAGGGACGCGTGAGCGCTGGTTCCGGAGGCTCCGGCTCCGCCGGGCTGTGCTCACACCTGGTGCCGGCCAGCACCTGCGCTCCGGCGCTGCCCTGAGCAGGCGGCACTTGCGTTGTGTCGGCCACGCTGAGCTCAATGCCTCTGTCGTCCAGGAGTTCTTGGGGCTGCATTCTGCTTCACCAATGGATATCTTCACTGGCACTGCGGCCCTTGCTCCTATCTGAGTGATGACAAAGAGCCAGTGTGGAGGGTGGTGGACAAAGTCCTGGATGGGTGTCCTTCTGGCAGACCGGTTGATTCCAGGCTGCTCCAGTGGCTGCTGGTGGACTGGCCCTATCCCTCTGTTCAGTGGAGAAGCCCATGGACCAGCTGGGGGACACATGCCCCCAGTTTTGTCCTGGGGTTCCGCTGGCTCCATGCTGGCCTGACCCAGGTCTTCTGAGAATCTGTCTGAGTTTCTGCTTCTGGAGCGACTGGGGGTAAAGCCACTGGTTGTCTCTGGTGCAGGTTTCCAGTCGCTGCCTGAAAAGGCACAGAGCTGAGAGCGGCGCCTTCGGTGGAGGTAAAACAGGCAGTCCGGCTGGATGGTCTGGTGTTGGGGGCTGGCGTGTGTATGTCCGTTAGGTGAGGCCACGTGATTGGGTGGATGTGTTTCAGAGACAGAGGATTCCCTGTGCCCTGGCAGCTCCTCCCGGTGCTGGAGGGGGGTGGGGGCAGGGCCTGGAGCGCCCACCTCCACATCGCCGCCCACAAGCCCCTCCCGGGCACTCAGCCTTGAATCCTGATAACCTCTGGGCTGCAGGACTGAGGAGCTAAGGAGAGATTTTTAAAATTCTGATAAGCACTAATTTGGCAAAGTTTCTAAGTGTGTAAACCCCATTTTCAACTTTTGGGGTTTGTGCCAGGATGGGAGAGGGGATGTATCTGATGGGCTAAGGATGGGTCAGAGCAGGTCCAAGGATTCATGTCTAGCCTTCTTGGGAGTTTTTGCTCTTGGAGGGTCCAGTGGCTTCAATTTTCTAGAATGTTCTGCAGTGGATTGAAACTAACCTAGACCACCAGACACAGGATGGCTTTTCTTTCTGCCCCTCCCGGCCGCCTGCTCTCTCCCTCTTGGGGGCCTGCAGCAGAGAGGCTCTGCTCTGAAGTCAGTGCTTATCTCAGTGATAAGCAATACACAATAGTGGGTGTTTTTTTTTTGCATGAGAATCAATTTAGAAAATTAAAAGTATTTGGGGATCAACTTTTGTTTTAATATGAATTCAAACTATGCATCCGAAAGCTCAGTTTCCACGACCACGTAAGGGGCACAGCGAGCTCCCTCCCCTTGTGAAGCAGCAGAGCTCAGGGGAGTCCTCTGGCCTCCCGCCGACCGGGGTGGGCATGGCTGCGCCTCACGCGGGCGGCGCCTGGGCTCCACTTGCTGGAAGCCCCGCGGCTGTGGCGGCTTGGCGGCTTGGCGGAGAGTGGTCTGCACACCCCTCCCGTTCTCAGGCTGCCGTGGAGCTCAGGGCCGGAGGCAGATGCGACGGGCGGCCTCCCTGCCCAGCTGAGGCCACCTTCCTGCAGCTCCTCCTGCAGAGTCCCCGCCGGGGCGGAGCAGGCAGGGCAGCCCCCGTGTGGCTCCAGGGCCCGTGATGCTGTGGCCACGCAGGGCCACTCTGGGCCCACGGAACACTCCCGGCCTGCTGCCCTCTCCTCGGCCCCTGCCACCCGCCCAGCCTCCGTGTGTGCTGGGAGCAGCGGGCAGGCTGCGAGCCCAGGGGCGGGTGGCTGGAGCCCACGCCTCGGCCTGCACTCCGGTAGGAGCTCCGGTGGCCTCAGAGGGCATCCTGTCCGGCCGGGACCCGCGGCTCGGCGAAGCCAGTGTCAGCGGTGATGCCTGACCTCGGAGCCCCGGCGGCTGCGGGGACGGGGACGGCTGATAAACAGGCGCTCAGACAGCTGCCCGTCCACATCCGGGGCTAACGCTGCCGCTTCTGCCTTTTTACAAAGTATTGTTTGAGCGCCCAAGGGCTGTTCACACTGGCTGTGAGCCGTGCTTCCCTGCAGCACATCCTGTGTCAGGCTGGCTAGGGGGTGTGGGGGGTCCCGGAGTGCATGCCCTGCCCGGTCCCTCATCAGGCACCCCTGCCGGCCACCAGGTGCCCCTGCAGCCCCGGGCAGTGCGGGCGCGCGGAGGCCCGTCCAGGCCGGGCTGTGCCCCCTGTACTAGCCGCGGCCCCTGCACCGCGGGCTGTGCGGCCCCGGAGCCAGAGGGGCGGGGCCTCCACGTGGCGGGACAGCCCTGTCCTCAGGTGCCCCTCTCACGCTGCCCGGGGCCGCAGAGGAGAAGGGTGGGAGGCAGGCAGGGCGTTGGGGGCACACGAATCATGGCCTTGGGTTTCAGAATTGCCTCTGGGTCTGCAGTGAACCTGACAAAGCTGGTCCCGGAAAGAGAGGGGGCACACTGAGGAGGGTCCTACTCCCATGAGGGTGGGGCTCCGGGGCGGAGGCTGGAGGAGCCTTTCCCGGTGAGCGAAGGGCAGCCCAGGACTGCAATTCGGGGCGGCCCGGCTGGATCCAGGACAGAGGGCAGGCCGCCAGGCCCTCCAGGGCTCTGAGGAGAGCTCGCCTCCTCGGGTTCACGTTTATCCATCTTTTCCCCAAAATGCACAATGGCAAGCGAGTCGTTCCCACAACAGCCCGGAGACGCCGCCAGGGCCGGGGGTGGGGAGAGGGGGTCAGCACAGACTCTGAGCCTCCTCGGTGCGTGGCCGCCCCGCAGCCCCTCCCTGCTGGCTGCCCGCCTCTGGGATGCACAGGTGGGGCACAGGCAGCTTTACAGTGGCGAATGGAAATCACACAATCATCAGCCAATAGTGACACAAGAACAGTTGTTTTGTTTACTCACAACAGTAAACCTACTTTCGCCCCCCCTGTATTTTCATGCTCCTTCATGTCGGGGTCCCAGGGTGCATTCTGGGAACTAACAGCAGGAGGTGAATGACCGTTAGGAGATAAAAGGCCAGCGACCAGCCGGATTTATTTAAATGGGGTTTGTACGTTTGCAAACAACAGAAGGCACGGTGTTAAAACTGGCACATTTTATAGCAGTGAGAAAAACTGAGCGCCATCTGAGATCTTCCGAGTGGTGCGTGTGTCTGCACACACGTGCACTGCGCTGGTTAAGATGCATGTGCGTCTGTCCGTGTGCCCACGGGGCTGGCTGTACAGATCGCACCTTGGGACTCCTCCCGGGGTGTTGATATTTGGACTAACGAGGACAACCAGACAAAAAGCTGAACCAATGTTGAGAGTCTGGGAACAGACGTGTTCTGGCCTCTGGAGGGGGGTCCTGGAGGCTGCAGACACAGGCGGGAGGGCCGCAGGGTCCACGGTGGGGAACTAGAGGGACGCGAGGGAGGGCAGGCCTGCCGGGGCAGACGGGGAAAGAGAAGAAGGGGTATGGAGGAGCCTAAGGACAGAAGGGGCCGTCCGTCCTGTGGGGGCAGTGCGTAGTGTCTGGAAGAGGCCAGGCGTGGCAGAGGCCCACCATCAGCAGCCATGAGGCGCGGTGCCCTCCCTCAGCAGCTGCGTCCCTGGCGCTTCTGTGTCTAACCAGCTTCTGCTGCTCTGGTCTGGGCACTAGCCCCACGTGGCAGGCGCTGTCTGCGCTCCCGGGGCAGAGGCGTGCAGGAGGGGGAGCTGCCTGCCTGTGAGTGCTGCTCGGGAGGGCCACAGGGTGTCTGTGTGAGTAGCTGGTGCTGTGGCCATGGCCAATAGGACTGTGGCGGCTGGAGCTCCTGGGCGGGTCCGAAGGCTTTGGAACTGAAGGGCAGGAGACACGCAGGCAGCCGAGGCAGGAAGGCCAGGAGCCCGCGGGACCCTGTGCAGCATGAGCGGCTGCTATCAGGGGTGTGGGGTACAGGTGAGGCAGCTTCCCTCACTTCTCCTCCCACCCGTGCTCACAGGGGCCCCACAGGAGTGAGATCCCGAGGCTCCTAAGCACAGGGCTCCCTCACGTGGGAGTTGAAATCTCAAAGTTTCCGTTGGGCTGAGTCACCTCAAGATGCTGTAGACAGAAGTGTGTGCGTGTGGGAGTCACGCTGTGGTCCGAGGTTTGGTGGCTCACTTATGAGTAAATGATAATTAACAAAGCAAAAAATAATGGGAAAACCCATCCTTAAAACAGAATTGCCTGGGACAACTATGTGTTGATTGCATATGGAATGTTCTCTGTTCCTTTGACTTTTGAATATGACTTGTTCTAGAATAAATATTGTAAATTACCTGAATGTTCTTTGTATTCAGACTTAAGCAAGAATTAACCAGTTCATCTTTAAGGCCAAGTATGAGGCAAGAAGTCCACATAAATTTGCTGTGTAATAAGATTTCCTTTTTTAAAGAGCATTTGGATGACAAATTATACATACCGACAAATATTATTTTAAAATGTCATGTTTGGTTTTCCATTAACTTTTGTGAAGCAGAAAAGCTTTCCTGTAAGTTCTGTGTCTGGGTTTGCCGCCCGCTCACCACTTCCTGCTGGACTGGCAGGCGGACTCCGGGCTGCTGCGTGGGAATGCGAACCGGACAGCAGCTTCTCTCATCTCCGCTCGGGGAAAGGGGCAATGCCACAGTCACTTGGCTGGAAGCTGGGAGTTTTGGCGATGCAATAGGGAAGGAAGTTGGCTTCAATTCCCTCCTCACCCTCCAAGATTGCTCCTTCAGGAGATGATGGGGTCCCAGCTGCGAGCCCTTGACGCGCACCTGACACATCCCCGTGCCTCTGGGTGGCCAGTGGAGGGGCTGCTTGGCCCCCAAGTGTCACCACTGCGCTCAGGAGGGGGTTGGCACTGTGTGTGCAATGCTGCACTTCCCACTGGTCATCAGAAAATGTGCCTTCATCTTCAGAACAGCGGTGTGCGCGTTTCTGAGTGGAGGGCAAGCCTTTTGACATCTGACTTAGCCACTCAAACACTGGGTTGAGGTTTGCCCTCCTGGAGACCATTCAAAAGCATGGACTTGATAACTTTTTTCTATAAAATGTACCTTGTTACACTTCTGGGGCAAGCTCTTTGCCAGCTCAGAATAACCATGGGTCCAGGGTGGAGATAACAGCCGTTTTCCATTTTGTCCATTGTTTCAATGACTGTCAGTGTAACTCTGTGGCAATAAAGAACATCATGAAAAGTCTCTCATTTGGATGGTGGATCCTGTGTTGCCTCAAAAGCAGGCAAGGAGTGTGCAACCCTTCCACTGGAAGCAGGTTCGCTCGGTTCCAGACTCCACGGCACAAGCGCAGCCAGCCTGCCTCGGCCCAGGTGTGGGTGAGCACAGCATGGGCAGGTGCGTTCTCAGGGGCCTGTGTCAACTCACTGGCCTGCGCAGACGCAAAGGCGGCAGAGGCTGTGTCTGTTGCCACCATCCTAGTCATGCTAAATGCTGGCCTCCTTCTCTGTAGAACACAACACACACACACACACACACACACACACACACACACACACTAGAATTTACCGTTGTAAAGGAGAAAGCCAGGAAAGGGCCAGCAAATGGAGAAGCAAACATCCCGTCTCTTGGCCCCACCCTGACTGCCACGGTTCTCCCCGCCTTTTCCACCGAAGGGCAGTCTGCTGACCTTCAAAACAGCCGGGCCTGTCGAAATGGCGACAGCCGATGCCCCTGGCTGCACGGAACCCAAGCTACACCAGAGGAAAGTATGGGTGGAAAGGTTATGGGGATCTGCGTGCTTTCATTCCTGAAGAAACACTGGGACCGGGGGAGGTCAGGCTGCCATCTTGCACACCTCTAGGGGTCACCTTGCATGTACCCCCCAATGGACTCCCAACAACGGTTTACACAAAGGCTGTGGTTTTATTTGTTAACACACATACATGGGACATCATGCAGCTTACTAGCCGAATGAGACCTTCTGGGCAGGCTCTGGCGGAGCACTCAGCTTCAAAGCGGTCCGCTGGCTAGTTCAGAATGCGCCTGGCAGGTTACCGCTGGTTATTTTTTGCACATATCACATGAACACAGTTACTTTATTGAGTCCTTTTCATTCAGATTGCTTGAATGTTTTGTGTTATTTCAAAGGGAAGTGTGGTGATGGTGCAAAGCATTACTATTATTAGCTCCGAGATCTGGGGCCCCCAAAGCAACTTGAACTATGACAGGCAGGCCGCGACCTCAGTGAAAGGTAATGCCCAACATTTTGGCTCTCTGATGCGTTTTTTCTGAACCCAGTACCTTAATGCTTAACCCAGTACATTTGCAAAACATGCCCTGGGTTTGCTCACGTTACAGGGTAAAAGGACAAGTTCTTTTTCAGTGATGTGAAAAGGTAACAAAAAAAAAAAAAATGCCACTGACGAACCTCTCCTTACAAACAGAATGTATGTCATCAGTAATAAAATGAGGACAGTCTCTAGTCAGTACACAGAGAGGCCCCAGGACCACAGAAATGTCCCTTAATGAGAGGAACTCGCGTCAGAAAGAACAGGAGCCAATTTCTCTGCAGAGACGTTAGTGTGTTAATGCTACTCCTTCCGTCTCTATTCAGTTACATTCGCGCCGAACCTAAAACTTCATGGAAGGCTTCCCCAAGTAAGAATCTTTTTGAAGGTTGTTTGCTTGGATTTTTCAAGAACCAAAACGTCAACCGTGTGCCTATGAGAGCTCACAGACGTGGCTCTGGCCATGGTCGGCCCTTGGGGACGAGTGCACTCCAGTGCGCCTGTGTGTGCCCCGAGGGCGACAGCGACATGGAGCCAGCCTGCGCTGACGGGAAGATGGTGACCGTCCACTTCCTGGAGGAGGGCACAGCCCCAGCTCCCGTCTGCGCTCTGACAGTGCAGCTGCTGGACTGGCTGACAGGGCAGCTTTCCGCACGTGGGACACGGCGGCTGGCCCAGCTGCTCCGCTGTGACAACATGGGATTCTGACCTGGTGCTTTCCCGATACAGAATCAAAGCGATGCCGCGTAAACCTGTCCGAATTCAGTAGAAACTTTCCGTTCAATAGGCTGCCTCTGGGGTCTGTCCTTGCTTCCTCGAGCAGGTGCATTTCTTAGTTGGTCTGAGCTCAGCCTCCTGAGGGACCTGGGCTGACGTTTTTGTGATTTGGGGAAACCCATGATTAATCATGTAATTTGGCTTCGGGTGTCCTGAACACCGAGCAGGGACACGTGGCAGGTCCTCGGGGAACTTGGCTGTTCTGGCCAGGATCCTGCAGACACTGACCTGCCCCAGGACACGGGTCAGGACTGTGTGAGGTCAGATCCACGCTTCTGGGACCGCCTTGGACAAGGGCTTTTTGAGAATTTTTGCATTTGACACCTGCTGGACTCCAGACTTCACGTCTGTCTGAGACTGGGACTGGTGTCACCTGTTCCCAGGCATGTCCCAACAGCACGGGCAGAACATGTCCGTGCTGTGACCACACTGAGTGCGCAGCCTCTGCATGTGCCACAGTGGCCACGCGGACCCTCGTGCAGCTTGGCACCCTTGGAAGGCTTTGGACCCGGAAATAGACAAAGAGCACTTTCCACACTGAAATGGGATGGCGAGTCCTTGAATCCCAGCCTGACGGGACAGCCTCACCCAGCAGGCTGTTGGCAAAACGGATTTCCCGAGTCTCTGCTCCAGTAAAGCCCTGGCGACGCTGCTATAAATAAGAGGTTGAGCGTCAACCTATGACCAGGAGGTCATGGTCCATCCCCAGTCAGGGCACAGGCCTGGGTTGCAGGCTCCATCCGTAGTGGGGGCTGTGCAGGAGGAAGCTGATCAATGATTCTCTCTCATCACTGATGTTTGCCTCCCTCCCTCTCACTTCCTCTCTGAAACCAACACAAACAAGCAGGGGCCGCAGAGCTGGGCGCTGCTCCAGCAGACGGAGGATCACTCCGCGGCCGCCTCACTTGCAGAGGAGCCCGTTCTGCAGGGTTTTGTTCCTGTCGGTTAGGCATGGGGAGGGGGTCGTCTGGGTCATGTCTTCCTTGCTCTTCGGGGAGGGGCTGCTGTTGCTGCCGCTGGACTTGCTCTTGCTCGGGTCGAGGGCGAGCTGGATGGGCAGGGAGTGGGTGCCCCGGGCCGGGACCAGGCAGTGGCAGACGAGCCGGAAGAAGGCTCGCCGCATCTCCTTGCTGGCCAGCGTGTAGATGACGGGGTTCATGGCAGAGTTGAGCACGGCCAGCACGATGAACCACTTGTCCTTGAACAGGACGGCGCACTCCTTCACTCTGCAGGCCACGTCGGCGAGGAAGAGGACGAAGAGCGGCGACCAGCAGGCGATGAACACGGTCACCACGATGACCACGGTGCGGAGCAGGGCCATGGAGCGCTCCGAGTGCAGGGGGCTGGCCACGCGGCGGCTGCTGGACCGCACCAGGCAGTAGATGCGCGCGTACAGGATCACGATGGCCGCCAGGATGGCGGTGAAGACGCTGACGCAGAAGGCGATGTACTTCTTGGAGTAGAGGGGCAGGATGGTGGAGCAGTCGGGGAGGTTGTGCAGGCAGTTCCAGCCCAGGATGGGCAGGGCTCCCAGCGAGAGCGCGATGAGCCAGCACATGCCGATGAGCAGGAAGACGCGGTGCTTCTTATTGGCGTTGTACGGCCTCATCTTGATCATGGTCAGGTGCCGCTCGATGGCGATGGCCAGGAGGCTGCAGGTGGATGCCCCAAGGGCCACGAACATGCTGCCTTCTCGCAGGAACCAGACCGTGGGAGACAGGCTCAGCGTCCTCTTGCCCGACATCAGGATGTTGACCTTGTAGGCGACGCCGGCCAGGAGGTCGCAGAGAGCCAGGTTGCTGATGAAGAAGTACATGCGGTTGTGAAGCTTCTTGTTCTTCCAGATGGCGATCAGAACCATCAGGTTCTCCAGGACGATGAAGCTGCAGAGCACCAAGAACAGCACGGTGGTGAGGGCACTGCCCTCGGGGGCATCCGCCAGCCGGCCGGCCAGCTTGCCCACGTAGCTGTAATGTTCGTACAGAGTCCCGTTTCCGGGGGAGGGCCTGGGCCTCGGGGTGAGGACCCTGGACATCACTTGGAATTTACAGGCCGTCGGCTCCAGACCCAGCAGAGGGCGCCTCAGGAACGTCCATTTCTAGCAAAGACCAGCTCAGGCTTCCCAGGTGATCCTGGCCAGCCCCCTGCTGGGGTGCTGGGAATGGGCTCCTGCAAACAGAAAAAAAAGGGGGAGGCAGCAAAGCTGGAGAAAGGCACCCAAAATGCTAATGCACGTGGCTGGGCCTAGGGGCTCAGAGAGGGCCTCCGTTCCCGGGATGGAGGAGGGTGGGAGCGCTGGGGTCTGGCTGCCAGGAGGGGAGTTCAGTGGGGAACCCCGGTCACTCACAGACCCAGAACTTCCCTCTGGAAATGCCGTCGGTTAGCCCTCACCCACTGCACGGGAGCTGGCGGCCCATCCTTCTCAGCAGGAGAAACAGGAGGAAACAGGGTGGCCTAGGGAAGGTGCCACCTGGTTTCTGAGCGCTCTGGGTGAGTCTCCGAGTGACATCACAGGACACGCCCACACTGCCCGCCCGCCTTCCCTGGAGCCAAGCAGGGCCCAGGGCAGAAGCCAGATCCTGATGGCCCTTAGGTCTGCAGGGCCCGGAGCCCTAACCTCTGACCACGTGGCCCCGGAGGAAGACGGCCGAGAACCTGAAGCCGCTTCGCTGGTAGCAGCTGAGCGTGGAGCTGGGAGGAAGAAACACACACCTGTACAAGTGGAGTCCACCTCCACGGAGCTTACAGGGAGGGAGAGCAAGCAAGGCCAAGCACGTAGACTTGGAGTTTGGCTTAAAATTCAAATGCCTGAATAGCAGCATGACTACCTACTCCCCTGCTCCCCTCCCACCACCAACTAAATCAAATCAGTGCATATGAGCCGAAGGACGCAACCAACTTGGGAGACAAGTGAGACAGTGAAGGTGCTGAGCCCACAAGCCAGGCCCTGGGTGGCCCTGGATTTTAATGCCTCCCCCACCCGACCTGGACACTCCCCACCCCGCCTGCGGCCTCCTGGGACGTCCAGGGGGATCCAGCCACTGAGGAGGAAAGGGCTTTCAGTGGACTCCCTGACTTCACCTTTGAGTTATGAATACATAAACGCGTAGCTAAGATCAAATGGCATCATCTACAGCAGCCCACCGTGTGTATCGGTGAAGCTTTTTGTACTTTTGGACATTTAATTCACAACGTTAGCTTTGGATTGAGGGCAAATGGACCACCCTACTGACCTGGGGCTCTGTGCTTCAGGGTGATGGGCTCTGACGGCTTCCCCTACCCTCTGAGCTCATCTCAGGCCCAGAGAGGCCTCAGCGCCTGGAAGGACACAGGGATCAGCGTGGGCAGCTGCTGTGCAGGGGGAAGCAGAGGAGACCCAGTCAGGGCCCCCTGCCCTCGAGACCCTCCAGGTAACCGCTTTCCTGCCCTCGGGTGCTGGTCCAGGTCCCTGAGGAGGACGGGGTCGCCAAGGACATCACGCGTGTCCGTGTCCACGGGAAAGGCCAGCACCAGGGCAGGGAGAGAGAGTTCACTGATTTTCAGAGAGAGAGGAAGGGGAAAGGAGAGAGAAACACCGATGTGAGAGCCCACACTCCACGGCTGTCTCCTACATGCCCCACACCGGGACTGAGCCACACCGGCATCAACCAGGAATCGACTGGCACCCCCGGTGCCTGGGACAACAATGGGCCAGGGTGAGGAGCACTTTTTCGAGCACATGTCCTGTGAAGTGTGAGTCTCCACATGCGGTGGGATTGGAAGGCACCATGTTGTCCTTGGAATTTAAAAGCGTGTTTTCTTTGCATCATCCACAGCAGAGAGTAGACCTTCCTGAGAGCTAAGTGCTGGCCAAAGGCCAGCCTGAGCTTACACGCGGCTCAGCATTGCCCTGCCTCCTCCAAAGCATCTTGTGGGGGCCAGCGAGCTTACCCCGCAGAAACGGGTCCCAACCCGGCGCCCCTGAGGCTGGCCCCTCTGTGCCCCAAGCCCCTTCCCAAACGGGACCACTGTCTGGCTTCTCACCCCTCAGGCCAGCCTGCTGCTGGCCTTCCCATGAAGGAGCCCTGCCGGAGCTGCTGTACTGGGTGGGATGCTCCCGCCATCATGGGGGTGACTGCTGACAGGACAGACGCACCGTTCGTTGCTTGTGGACGTGGTGTTCTTTCTGTGCCCTGAATGCCCACGTCCTGTGTGAGCAGGTGCCGTGTGTCCGCGGTACCACTGATCCGTGATGCTGGCACCGAGCGTGGGCTCTGACGCAGAGGGTCCCTCAGAGGCTTCCGGGGCCCGGCCAGAGCCCGAAGCTGAGTGTGTGTGGAGCAGAGAGAGCCTCTGAAGATGAGATTTACCCATTTCACATTTTGTTTTATCTTAAAAATTAGTGTGTGGGACTGGCAGAGACAATGTACAAGTTTGATCGCTGCTTCAAGTCCAGCTGCACTCGCCAAGCCCAGTGCTGAGGAGTGTGTGCTGGTCAGTCCCATCCGCACATCCTTAGGAAGCTGGGCGTTTACAGTAGATACACTGCTCGTAGGCAGAGGTTGTCCAGGGAATCTATATTCCCATGTGCTTCGGCCTGAAGCAGGCCTGGCTCACACACTCCAGACAGAGGTACCCTGCCCAGGCCTGAGGCCCTCACCCACCCACAGGGCGTTCGCACTCACCGGCTGGGACTTCCCAGGCCGCCGGCAGGCTTTTCGGAACCAGCACCTCTCACAGAGAAAGAACAAAATGCCTTCCAGCAGGCGGTGCCAGCCGTGTCGCCCAGTTTAGACCTGCCAGGCCAGGGTGCTCCCTTTCCCTGCATTCCCCGGAGGCACGTCCTCGGGGAGCGGAGGAGAGAGCACTGCAGCAATGGCTTCCAGATGTGCTTTCTATGCTAACGAGTCACTCTTTCCGGGTCAATTTGAAAAATAAACAAACTATAAAAAGAAGAAAGAGAAAAAAGCACAGAAAAACATGTCCACATAGCCTGGGGTCTCTTCCTCTCTCAGGCAGGGAAGGAGAGCACAGTAGGACAGCCAGGAGTTTCTCCTGGCCAGACACAGGGCGCTGGGCTTCCAGTGGGCACGTCTCCGGGGGAACCAGCTAGCTCTCCTCCAAACGGAATGAAAACACCACACGGTTGCCAACGAGTGAAATTCCTTGGAAAGCAGGGTTTTTTTCTTCCAAGAGGAAAGAATGAGTTGGCCCTCACGGAAACCCCTTTGCCGGCGAGCACTCCTCGCTCGAATTTCTCAGGGGCCCCTCTGCTTCCAGAAGCTGCTCGCAGCAGAGGCTCTGCACACCCGCCCAGCGCTGCACTGAGCTCCAGGCCACAGGGCGCTGCCGGTGAGCAAACTACCGCTGTCCGATCCAGCTGAGGGTCTCACGGTCCCGTGCTCACTCCTCTGGGCCCCAGGCCTGTCCCTCGGGGGACAACTGTTTTTGATCCAAGAGGCCTTCCTCTCCCCTGCCTGCTCTAAGTAAGGTACAGGACTGAATTCCTACCAAGACTGTCACAGGACCAACAGGGGTATGTGGGACCGAGCTCCTCAAGGCAGCTACAGATAATGCAGGTAAGAGGTGTTCTGCCTGAGAAGTCCTAGGAGTGGGCTCCCAGCGCTCTCACTCGGAGACAAGGCCCATGCTATGCACAGGGCACCTCGCCGGGACCACGCCTGCTCTCCCATCTGCCTTCGGAATGTGCACAGGAGGAAACTGTGAGCACGTGAGGAAGCGGCTGGGCGGGGGAGGGGGCACGGGGAGGCAGAGATTCGGAAGAGGCAAGACTGGGCTGGATGTCTGTGCCATTTCACCGCATTACTCATAAGCTTTCTGGAGGTGACCACCTTTCCACGTGTCCTTCACCTTGATTGTGATAAGAGCATCCCTAGCGTGCTTTCGAGCCAAACCACCTCTGGCTACTGTGCTACAAATCCTGGAATGCAGGCTTTACTGAAGTAAATGGAAAATCTGCCTCCGGGGAAATGGAGCAGCATCCAGGCCAAAGAGCCTCGTCGGCTGACAGGATCCCTCTCCAGCTCACCGTGCCGATGGCCACGTTCTCCACCAAGCAGCCTTGTCACTGACGTCCCCACTGGCCTGATGTCTGGTCTCTTACAGACAAAGCTTCAATTTCTCAGAATCAGAATAATACAAAAACAAATAAAAGAGGCAACTTTATGTCCAGTAACTGTAACAACATTAGCTGAAATGTACTATTAATTGACACTAGATGGGATTCCACACCATGCATCATATCTCCAAGAGCTTATGGAAAACTTCTTAAGGCAATTAATTACTTGAGCAGAAAATATATGACAAAGAAATCATAGGAAATCACTCCAAAACTGGTGGAAGAACTAGGAAGCCACGTGCGAGGCAGGGAAGGTGAGGTCCTGCTCACGGTGCCTGGGCCCGAGCGTGCCTCATCAGCTGCGTCAGCACTCAAGTCCCGGTCCTGAGTCGCGGCAGGCAAAATGGGTTCTACAAGGTGGCACCCCTACCTTTTCAAGACTATGACATGCTCGAATTCTCAAATTTTTTTTTGTAATAAGAATATATGCATACACTGTAGATACCGAATCATCTTTAGGGGATGGAAGAAATACAATGGAATCGAAAGTGTGTCGTCATTCCCAGAGAAAGGAAAATCAGTCCCGCATTTTGAGAAAGAAAGCCGTTAGCCAACAGGCGAGGCTCCTTCCACAGCAGCGCGGGGAGCAGCCTGCTCGCAGGCTGTGTGAGGCCCGCGGAGGCCTTGGGTCTGGCCCTGCCCAAGCAATAGGAGTGAGTTAATTAAAAGTTTGACCAAATACAGAAGGGTAATTTTTAAGTTGATAATTTTGTATGGCCCACGAATGATGTTATAAATATCCAAATGGCCCTGGGCAGAAAAAGGTTCCCACCCCTGGTCTACAGGAAAACGGGAGTTTCTACTATCCACTGCGTATAAAATTAGGAGAGTCATGCACCTAAGGAAATTCACAAACATGGAGAGGAACAGCCTTTTCAAAAACGAAAACTGGATGAGACATCACTGGGCCTCTATCG